ACTGCATTCTTACACACTGCTCACACATAGACACCATACACACACACTCTCACACGCACACACGCATGCACCCTCCCCTACACTCAAACACACCACACTCACATGCTTACATATCCCAGCACACATACACATATATACTATACACATACTCACACAATACACTACATACACTTACACACACACACACATAGCTTTTTTTCCTCTCACTTTCATTTGAAGGGGGTCCTGGGGGACAGTGGGGCTGTTGTTGCCTGTCACCCCCACTGTGTGTCTGTCCTTTGCCTTCCGGGGGTGCTCCATGCTCTCCTTCCACCTGCTTGCTGTAAAGGTGGGACCCGGGCATGGGAAGATGCCTTCTCTGCAGAAGTTGCCAGGACTCTCCCCACCAGGAGATGCTGAAGACGGGGTTCGAATCCAGGGGTCCAGGCCTGCTGTGTCGTAGGTGTGCAGCCTGGGACACATGCTGGTGTGCGCAAAGACCTCACTTTGTGTAGCAGGGGCACTTCACTTTTTCTGGGTTGAGGCCCCCCATGCCATGAGGCATGATGTCTCAGAGAAGGTCCAGCAGAAGGTCTAGTGCAGCTTTCATGGCTTTTTGGTTTGGTCTGGACACCTAAAGCATGGTGCTACCTGAAGAATGTGGATTTGTAGTTTTCTAAGAAAGTCTGTTTCTCTTTGGTGTAGAGAACTCCTAGCATGGATACTCCCCCTCACAGGGCAGAGTAGCACCTCTCCTACGCTCCCAGTCCATCTTCCCGACTCCACAGCTGGCTCCCTGTTAACAGGGCTATGCTGCTTCTCCACTTAATTTTTCAGTAGAACAACTTAGACAAAGTGAAGTGTTTAGATTTGTGAGATCTGCTAATCGAAGGCATAATTTCGATTTTAAAAAGCTATCTGTGTTTTAGACCTTGCTTTGCCATTTTAAAAACCTTCTTTTATTTCCCTTAGGTTGCTAGCCGAGTGCAAAAGTATTTTATAAAACTGACTAAAGCCGGCATTCCAGTTCCAGGCAGGACACCAAACTTGTATATGTACTCCAAAAAGGTAAAAAAATGCACTAAAACCCATAGACCAGAATAGTGCATCCTCTGCAGAGTTCACTTACTGGACAGGGACGTGTTTTTCAGACCCCAATTCAGGAAAATGTAACGTTTCATTGAATTTTACCCAAGTATGGTAGGTGATTTTTCAGAAGGGTAGTTTAGTAAGTTGCTGAACTTATTGATAAGTGCTCTTTAATGTAAAAACATGACCAGAGACCTTCGTGTCTCTCACAAGATTGCTGAGCTATACCTGTCATCGTGGGACCCTTCCTCCATTGGCAGTCCATCTTCTCTGGGATTCGCTCTTTCTCGGATTTCCCTGGCGGAGGGGGGTTCTTCCCTTGTAGCCAAGGTATGGAACTCCCTTGGAGCTTAGGGTTCCAGCACCTTGCAGACTCAGGGGTGGTGTGGGGAGGGGGTTACTTTCTTCTTTGTAGCCTCTGAGTGGTCCCTTTGGCCCAGCCCTAAAGCTCGTACTCTGAAAGCTGTCCTGTCTACAATGACTCATTGTGGGGAACATGGAGGATGAGAACTCAGGTCACGAGGTCCAAAAGGGACCCCCATATGGATAGGCTGGAGACAGGCCAAAGTGGGAGTTCCTCCCCCTGTGCCCAGGGTCACGGTCATCCCCCCTCTCATCAAACAGGTGAGAAACCCAGTCCCATGGCCATACAGGTGTAGAACAGGCAGATGCTTCTCTTGCTCCCTCCCTCCTCCCTCCCGCCCCCATTTTGGGGGGTTCTGAAGCTAGGCTAGAACCCAGTCTGCCTGTGTCTGAGACCTCAGCTGAGCTGCCAGGTTTCCTTCTTAGTCATTGTAGGTCTTATTTATTGCTCATGAGGTGAAAACTTTGTGGAAGCCATTTGTCTCTTGTTTGTGTCCCAACACGGTGTGACCTATAACTTTCCGCAGTCTGTTCTCTGTCCCAGGCTGCCCAGCTCTCAGTGTGCGAGATCCCGATGGATGGTTTTGTGGGGCAGTCCTCTGTTCTCAGCCTTATCTTGGCGAGCCGCCCCCCACCCCCAATCTACTTGACCATTTCCATTTTCTCCAGCTTATTCAGTCCTATTTCTGTTTAAATGTCATGACCAGAACTGTGTATATTATTCCAAGTGTAAACATAGTGTTATTGGGTCCAGGTGGAGGACAATGATTTGTTTCCACTGCCCTTGACAGTGCCTCGGGGCCACATGTGGCCCTCTGCATCCTTAAGCACGACCCTCGGACTGAGTCCAAACTTCACAGAACAGATCCCCTTCGTAAAAGAATTTAGTCAGAGGGCTGCACCTGAGGACCTAGAGGGCCACATGTGGTCGCGAGGCCACAGGTCCCCCACCCCTGACGTAGCCTGTCATCTTCTTAAACGTAGTTCAGACTGTTTCCCCTGGGTGTATTGCCTTATACTTATATTGAAACTCATTAACTGTCATAGTCTGAAAGTTTGCAAGCTCTGGGAGTCTGGTGGGTGGAATGGGTAACGATAGAGGGCTTGCCATTTCTGTGTTTTGGGGATGACAAAAGTAAGTGCTCTCATTTCCAAAAGTCTGAGTAACAGATGGCAGAGTTACTACCTGGGGCCTGCAAATTGCTTTTCTTTCTTTCTTTCTTTTTTTAAGTGTGTGTGTGTATACATGTGTAATTTTTTTTAGTGAGTAAAAATTTGTCCTCTTCCCCAGCCCCTGCCCCTGCTGCCCTGCCCCTGCCCCTACTGGAGAACTCGAGAAAAATCAAACCCTTTTACAGACTTGTATCGTCCAGCAAAAGCAGGTTCCACCTTGGCTGTGCCCCAAAGAAATGTCTTCTTGTGCCCCCAAGTCCTTTGCCTCAGGAGGCTGGTGGTCTCATCAAGCCTCTGTAATCCTGGTTGGTTATTACACTGAGTAGAGCTCCTAAGCCTTTCAGAGTTGTTTGCTTTTACATTACTGTTTTCACTGTATCAGTTCTCCTAATTCTCTTCACTTCATTCCGCATCATAAAAATCTTCCTAGGTTTTTCTGAAGCCACGTCTTGCATCATTTCTTTTGGTATAGTGGTATTCTATCACAGTCATATACCCCTTGGTCATCCAAACCTCGATTTGTAAGCCCTTCCTCACGTTCCCATTCTTTGCCACCCCAAAAGAGCTCTAAATATTTGTATATATAGTTAGTTTGTTTTGCCCAAGGCTGATCCCTACCTTAATCTACCATTCCTCTAATTCCGCCTCCCCTTTCTCTCTTTCCTTATTGAGTGAAACGTGTTTTTGTACCCAGCTTTGTGTGTGTGTATGTGTGTGTATTTTTTGGACCTGTTCAGATAAGAGTGAGGTTGAAGTGTCACTTGCTCCCCTGACCCCTTACTGCTTGTTTGTATAGATTTCTACTGTTGTACCCTCAATACGTGAGATAACACTCCCCTAACACTCCCCTTGCCCCATTCCTCTTCCCCTCTCTTTCCAGTCTTCTCTTAAGATCATCAAGATATAACCTGTCTCAGGCTTTGTGGCTTTGTCCAATTAGATTCCTCCTCCTTTGACTCCTGATGATGACGTGGATCATTTCGCTATGTCAGAATGTTCATTGTTCATTCATTTTTTACTTTTTATGTTTCTCTTGACTCCTGCATTAGAACTTCAAAGTTTCTCTCCAGTTCTCTTTGGACTTTTCATCAGGAATTCTGGGAAGTCCTCTCTTTTATTAAAGGTTCATTTTTTTTCCTGTGACATTATTTTCAGTTTTGCTGGATAAGTTAATCTTGGCTCTAACCCTATATCCTTTGCCATATCATATTCCAAGCTCTTCCCTCTTTTGAAGTGCTGACTGCTAAATCCTGTGTGACCCTTTCTGTGTCTACTGGGTTCTTGAATTTTTTTCTTTGCATATTTTTTTCTTACACCTGTAAGCTCTGGCTTTTGGCTGTGATATTCCTGGGAATTGCATTAAGGTGGTGACCAGTGGGTTCTTTCTAGTTCCACTTTGCCCTTTGTTTCTAAGAGATCTCTCAGTTTTCTTTGAGGATTTTTTTAAATAGGATGACTATGCCCCTTTTTCTTTTGGTCACAGCATTCAGATAGTCCATTGATCTTGAGTTTTTTCTCCTCAATCTCTTTTATAGGTCATTTGTTTTTGCTAGGAGATAGCTTATATTTTCTTCAATTTTTTCATCCTTCAATTGTTTTTGAATATTTCTTGTGGCCTCATGAAGTCATTGGCTCCTGTTTGGTCACAGATTGGCAGGGGGGCTAAACCAGGTTGAGGGTAACTGACAGGCCTCAAGCCCATCATTGAGTTGGGGGGCTCTGTGTCAATCATGTGAATTCTCCCCAGTGGGTGGCTGTGAAAGCTGGGTCAGACATCAGAGGTACTAAGGTCATCCGCTGCATGCTGGGCCGTTGCCAGTTGTGATTTTTGCCTTTTTGCTAGACTCTGATGACTCTGGAAGAGAGAGTGAAACTGAGGACTTGGTGCAGCTCTGCCTCACTTACATCCAATCATTGGTTCTCTTCAGAACAACTTCTTATTCTGTGACTGATCAGGGAGCTCTTGATTACGTCTTACCAGCTCTCCCAGTTTTTTCCAGTATCACCATTTCTTTGTAACTCATTCAGAGTGCTCAGAATCCCAGTCGGTGATGGAGTTTGACCTTCACATCAGGGAAGGTTACATTAATCCAAACTTGCATTTTCTAGCTGCGGCCCATCCTTTTGCCCCTTTCAGCATTCTGCTTGTCAGTTAGGCATAGGGTTGATGTGTTCTGACCATAATATCTGGTAAGGTATGAGGGGTGGTTTGTTAATAATTCATCCATTTCCTGCACATATGAGGGAAGCTGGCTACTTCACTCCAAAGCTAAAGAGTGAACCATGATCCCAACCAGATCCCTGTTTGTCTGGGCACAGAGAAGGGTGAGCTAGGGGTCCCATCATGCTTATGAATGGTGGGGATGCCCACCTTCAGAAAAATAAGCTTAGTGGGTCAGTTGCAGCCTGTTTTGAAAATGTGTGTTAATGTTCTTGACTTTAGGAACTGATTTCTGACCTGCCCTCTTGAAATTTGTGTTTTCTGACGTAGTCTTCGACAAGCAGACGACAACACCCCCTTAACAAGCATCTCTTCAAGCCTTCCACGTTTATGACTTCCCACGAGCCTCCCGTGTACATGGATGAGGACGATGATGACAGGGCCAGTTTCCATAGCCACACGGACCCTGCGGCAGAGGAGGCCTCGGTAGGGACCTTCGTCCTCTTTGGTTGGGGGGCTGCTGTGTACGGGATGACTACACAGAGAAGGCGAACTCTTCCTTCTCCGGGGGGTGGGGGGGATGGTTTTGTAATGAACGAGACCTTTCAGGGTTTCATCTGACTTAGCTGTAGCTGATTCTCACAGGATTTCCTGGGCACAGTTCAGTATGATGGGAAGCGCAGGGGTTTCCTGGCCAGATGTCACATGCTTGAATTCAGTGGGATTAACCAAGGTGATGGATAGCAGGCAGCCCTGCAAAGGAAGACAGAGGCCCGATACAGCTGTCCTGGGACAGATCCCCTTTCTCTGGCAGGGACTCTTCTCCTCCTCCGTGCTTGACCCGACTGTTGTCTGGAGAACTGGCAGCCTCTGGGCTTGTGGGTAGCTCAGGAGACTCCGAGCTCATCCCTGGATGGATTCAGAAAACCACAAATGAACACTGTCACCGTGGGGGTAAACGTTTCCCAGGGACGGTGTAATCTCATTCTGGACCCCACAGCCTTTGCCAGCCACACTTGTGCTTGATGAGATGTGCCATCTCCTTAAAACTGCTCCACCCCTTTCCATTGCCACCCTTCGATTCCACGTTTGGGGGGCTGGGGAGAGGAGAGGTAGTGAGCCATGCTTCAGTGAGAAAAAAATCCACTTTGTTGTCTCCTTACACTCGAGGTTCATTAATATGGTTTGAAATGGCTTATTCTCATATAGTCCCAGCTACGGTTTTGAAAGCCGTTCTTACTGTTGGCAGAGAGTTTGCAGGATTTCCCTACTATTCCTTCATCAGTTGTGATGAAGGCAAATAACTGACCATTGGGGAGAGGAGGGGGGAGGGAAGAGGAGGAGAGGAGAGAAGAGAGGAAGGGAGAAAAAGAGAGAGAGAGAACAAGGAGAGGGAGGAAGGGAGAGAACAGAGGGGAGGGAGGGAGGAGAGTGAAGGAGGAGGAGGGAGGAGAGGGACAGAGAGAGGATGGAGGAGAAGGGAAGAAGGGAGAAGGATGGAGGAGAGGGAGGGAAGAGAAGAGAGTGAGGGACAAAAGGGGAGAGAGAGGGAGGCAGGAGGGAGAGAGAGACCATTTAGAAGAAAGGCGTGCAGTGTTGACGCCAATGGTACCATATGTCAGCATAATAGATGAATCATATTAGACTCTACTGCTCTAAATGTCAGAAAAGAGCTGCTATTGACCCAGTGAAAATAAACTCAAAATTAGTCCTTCCCGTTGAGCCGTTTGTACCCAGAAATTGCTTGTCCTGCTCTCAGACTGGTACAGATCTCATCGTGAAAGGTCTCATAAAGGGCCTCAATGTGAGTGACCCAGCTCTGGAGTCCAAGCCTGGCCCTGGGCCATGTGGCTTCTCCACAGGACAGTTTGTCCCCATGAGCAGGGCTGTATGGAGCGCCTACTGTGTGCTCAGTATTATATGGAACACCTACTATATGCTCAGCATTATGTGGACCACCCTGTGTGTTCAGCATGGGAGGACCCCCCCCCCTTGCTGGTGTGGGAATCTCAGACATAGCCTAGAGGAATAATTACGCTCCCAATAGACAAGGACTCCATGCACAGATGAGTTTGGGTGGAAAAGAGCTGGGATTGGGGTCTGGCTGTTTACACAGAAGGAGAAAATATTGGATGGCTTTACCTGAAGAAGGGAGGGCTGGTGGGTGATTGGAAGTAAGGATTAGGGTTGGTCTCTCGGCCCCTCTGTTTATTTGTTCATTCATTCCTTCGTTTCTGCCTTGTGAAAGACATAACCCGAGTTGCCTCCTTCCGTGCAGAAGGACTTGGTCTACACCCAGGGGTGTCATTTAGACTTAGCTGAGCAGGGGGCTGGTTTAGCCTCACAACATAGGGTGACTTCTCCACTGAAAGATCTTTTTTTCTCCTTAATAAGTTTCTGTTGATGCCTTTTGGTTTTGCATTACTTCTAAGTTCCCCCAGCATCCTTCTCCCAGCCCTTCCTAGAAAGCTGTCCCCTGTAACAAACATTTTTTAAAGATTAAAAAAAGAAGAGATCCAGGACCTCCCCCTCCTGCAGAGGCGGAGGGTCGCAGTGTCCTCACCTTTCTTCTTGGAGGTCACTTTTGCCACGTTCCCTCTTGGTTGGTCTGTCGTTGTTCCACGGCCACGGTTGTGGTCACTGCCTGTTGTTTCCCAGACTCTCTGTCTTCATCGCACACCCCATCTCTTAGAGCACAGGCATATTCTGTTTGGTGCCCATGAGAACATGGGCTTCCTTGGGGTACAAGCGTGGTAATGGAGTCACTGGGTCAGAGGATACGGACATCTCAGGCACTTTGTGTGCAGTTGCACGCTGCTTTTCGAAATGGTCTTACTGATTGGCATTGCCACCAACAGTGCATTCGTGTGCCTTTCTTCCCACAGCCCCTCCAACACCCACTGTTCCCATCTTTCGGGGTTGTTCCAATTTGTGTTTCTCTTGTTCGTGATTTGGAGCATGATTTCATGTGGTTGTGAGAACTTTGACCACTCCCTCATGGAGGGAGAGTAGCTTTTGGTCATGGGTGGGAGGGGGAGGTAACTATGTCAGTTGGGTCTCATCCTCTCGTCCGAGAAAGTGGATTCCAAGCTTGTTTTTCCTGTTGTTGCCATGCACAAGACCGAACGGCTCCTCTTCCTTGTGGGGGGCGGTTTGTGGCCGGCTTTTCCCTTGAGGTCTTGTCCAAGGCGCTTTGGGAAGAGCCTGAGGAGAGGCGAGAGTGATGCTGGATTGGCATTCATTCAGAGGTTGCATCTGCTGCATCTTCATGAACGTTATTTTTCTTTAACTATGCATATTTTTTCTATGAACCTCTTTCCTGCTGGACACGCAGCCCTTGAGGTCATTCGGCGCGCCTTATTCTCTGTGCTGGAAACTTATGAGTTCCGCTCTTTGGGTTGCGTCCTTGGTGTTGGGCAGACCCCCAGACCTTCTCTCTCTGTCCTCGTTTGCACAGTCCGAGTTCCACTCGTGGCCACCCGTGAAACGCAGTCTCTGTTCTGGCGCCTTCTGACGCTAGAGGAAGCAGAGCTTAGATGAGAGCCCCTTTGCTGGAGGATTCTTAGGGCGCGCTTTGAAAAGGAGGGTACCGGGACCGGTGTGCCGCGATCCATAAAAATGATTTTAGTCTCAACATCTCATTGGTGCACATGCTTCTCTATCTGTGTTTCTTAGAGCTGCCTTTATATATAGGGAGCTGTTGGGCTCCTGAAGGAAAAAGACCTTGGCCTCTTGGGCCAGACCCTTTTAGACTTGGGGCTCTTTTTCTGCTGGACGTGAGGCTGCCCCTCCCATTGTGGGGAGAGGAAAAGGCTGTATTTCCCCTTAGGCAGGCAGCAGCCCAAGGAGAGGGGCCGGGCTCACCTGGAAGAGCCCCTGGAGTAGAGGCCAGGAGCCAGCCCCGGATCTGGATTCTGCCGGAGGTGCCCCTCTGGCCCTGAAAGGGGGAGAAGTGCATTTTTCCAGGCAGGTCACTCCTTGGCCTGGCCCTCCATGCAAGGCCTTGCTCCAAGGTGACCAGCGCCTGCTCACTGTTTTCGGGGTTGCTCCCCTCAGGATGAAGAAAGCATTCCTGTCCCGTGCCGGGAGTTGCCCGAGTACAAGGAGCTGCTGGAGCTAAAGAAGCTGAAGAAGAAGAAGCTGCAGCAGATGCAGGCGGAAGGCGGCTTTGTGCAGCACGCAGGCTTCAAGGTATGTGGTGCGCGTCTCCCAAGCTGCAAGATCCCTGCTGTTGAGGAGGAGCTTTCAGGCAAGTGCCCCCAGGCCCAGGGAGGTCCCTGCTTTCCCTCCTCGAAGCAGAGCCGCAGGATGGTCCTGCTGCCCCATGTGGAGTTCTCAGGACACTGGGGGACTGGGGGGGAGAATGGAGGGGTCAGGAAGGGCAGGGCTGGTGTTCTCTGATCCTAGGGACTGGGGGCATCTCACTGGTGATCAACATAGGACTAGCTTGACCTTCAGAGGGTTGGAGTGATGGGCCCTTGGCCGCTCTGCCATCCTAAACCAGAAGGTGCTGCGGTCGCCATTTCTTATCCCCTGCTGAGCTGGGAAGGCTGCTCTTGGAAAGAGGCTCATGCCTCGAGGGGCCATGAGTGCTTCTATCTTTGGGGACTGGCATGACCCCCCTGGATGGCTTGTGGCTTTTAGAACAAGGTGTGTTACCTTGTTCAGGGAACTTTGTTATCGAGGGGTGGGGCCTCACGGACTGTCTGCGACAGTGCCTGTGTGCCCTGATGAGATACAGCAAACTAAGCTTAGTGAGCCTTCCCAGAAGAATGCGTTCTGTCTGTGCAGAAGGTTGGGGAGGGGCCTCAAGTCATTTCCTCCAAGGCAGGAAATGGGGCCCCAGTCACCCACATCCATCCGCCCATCCAGGAGAGAGAGCCAGTATTTAGACTAGGCCACCCTTCCTGCTCCCTGGCCAGCCCCTGCCGCATTAGGCATCCTGCCTACAATGGAGCTGAGACTCAGCCCTCTGTGGATGTGGGGAGGGTCCCCGCTTCCAAGCTGGGTGGAGCTTCATGACCCCCTGGTCCTTTGCCCTGTGAAGCAGGCCCAGTTCTTCTCCTCTGTGAGAGTGGCAGAGACCCTTTGGAGTGATTGAGTTTCTGCCCCCTGGGCCCAGGGCCCCTCTCAGCCCCTCCCTGCAGGACCTTGGGAGCGCAGTCTGGGCCCTGTTTCCTCACAGGAAGGGGTGAGGACCCCCAAGGGGTGGGGGAGGGGAGATGGGGGAGCTCCTCTGGGCTTGTTGCCTCTTTCACAGCCCAATAACAAGCTCAGATTCCAGTGTGGAAGACAGGTCGTGTGCGAGCTGCCCTCCCCTCCCAACTCTTCCTCAGCCATCCCCCCCACCCCCAAGTGGGTTTGTGTGGTCCCTGACCTAGTCTGTCCTGACCTCCATCTAGTGTGATAACTGTGGCATGGAGCCCATTCAGGGCATTCGGTGGCACTGCCAGGATTGTCCCCCGGAAATGTCCCTGGACTTCTGTGACTCTTGTTCAGACTGGTAAGTGACACCCGTGCTTGATGTGCTAAAGGCTTGTCCTTTTGTGACCCTGAGCAAAACCTCAGAAGGAAAAATTTTGCATAAAGTGCAACCCAGTGTGTTGGGATGTGTTAAATAGATTTCTACCTGGGGCAGCCAGGGGACGCCAAAGCTTGGAATCAGGAAGACCTGAGTTTAGATCCAGCCTCAGACACTAGCTTCATGACTCCAGGCATCTCCCTCAGTTTGCTCATTTGTAAAATGGGGATAATAATGACACCTCCCCCACCTTGTGAGGATCAAATGAGATTGTGCTTGTAAAGGCGCATAGCACATGCCTGGCATACAGTAGGTGCTTAATAAATGCCATAATAGTAACAGCAACATTTATATGGGGTTTTAAGGTTTGAAAGGCACTTTACATGTGTTTGGATTAAATTTATATGATGCAAAAAAGCTCTCATCCTTCAGATTCTTAGGTACAGGTCGAGTCAGACTTTTTTTTGTGTTTTTATTTTTCTTGCTTTTTTTTTTTTTTTTTTTTTTTTTTTTTGACACGACTAACATGAAAATATGTTTTGCATAACCTCACATGTACAATGTGTCTCCTATTGCTTCCCTTCCCAATGGGACTGAAGAGAGAGAATTTGCAACTCAGCTTTTTTTTTTTTAATGAATGTTATACAGTTTTTAATTAAGCACACCAGGTCTGATTCTGTCGTGTTGGCTCAGGAAGTTTAACTAGTTGGATTGAATTGCCTCATGGAGAAAAAGCCCCACGTCCCAAAGGGCTAAAGGGTTGGGGGTGGGCTCTTCACGGAGTCATGGGTCCTACCAGACATGCAGGTGATGGCCGCATGTTGTGTGCGTTTTTTTACAGCCTCCATGAGACCGACTTCCACAAGGAGGACCACCAGCTAGAGCCCATTTACCGGGCAGAGACTTTCTTAGACAGAGACTACTGCGTTTCCCAGGGCACCAGCTACAGTTACCTGGACCCAAACTACTTTCCAGCCAACAGATGACATGGGAGAGACCCTGGGCCACGCTCCTCTTCCACACATAGCCATGGTACCGGCGTTCTCTTGGCTTTCCCTGAAAGGACATTCTGTGATGCGCGCTCCCCAGGGGTCTCACCACCTGTTGGGTGGGGTTCTCGGCGGGCTGCCGACCAGCCGGCTGCACGCACGCGTGCGCGCCTCCCGTGCACTTCTCCCTGTCTCGGGGCCCTGTCGGTGGCCGTCTCCGGGGGCGAGCCCCCATTGAGGAGAGTCCATCCCAAAGGCTTCAGACCAGGTCACGGCAATGGTATCGAGAAGACAAAGTCTTTCTAGAAAGACCGTTTCTAGGCTGCAGCTTTGTGGTGAAGACAGTTTTCACCAATGATGGTATTTGCTTCTAGGATCTCTTCTTACCGACGTGTCCCTGCCCCATCCAGTCGGCGCTGCTTCCTTCACCACACTGACTGGTCCCTGGAACTGTCCTCCTCCCCTCCCGACAGTGAAGCACTACCAGAGGCCTGCGCGGCGTTGCCTCCATGACCGGCTCGCAGTCGCGGTGTGTGAGTGTGATCCGGTCGTCCCTCAGATCTATTTTTTAAATGTCATGTTCTATAAGATTGATCATGTGATGTGTACAAACTATGGTGAAAAGTGCCAGTGGTAGTAACTATGTCCAGTCTCTAATACTCCACATTAACTCCTTGAAAATGCACAGCCTCTGCCTCTGTGTTTGGAGTTGTCCGTGCAACTCAGCAAAGAAAACTGCCTAATAGAGAATCATCTGTATGGTAATAACTCCCCTCTTTTGTAGTCTGCCCCAGATCCACGAAAGATTGTATTTTTATTACTATTTAAAAAGTGATTACACTTCGTCTGCGCAGTGAGCGAGGGTTCACATGCATCCTTTTATACTGCTGGATTTTGTTGTGCTTCATTTAAGACATTTTGTATGTTTCTTCTTATCTGTGTATACCGTCTGTTCTTAAATAATGTTCATTTGTCAAGAGAACTGTGAGAAATAAACTATGTGGATACTGTCTGTTTATAGTAGAGAATGGCTCTGGTGGCTTCCTTCCACGCACATCCCCAGCGTTTTTATAGTGATCGTGTACGCTACCTGAGGGAACAGTGCTTTACGCTGGCCCCAAGAGGATCTTGAAGGGAAACGCTTCCTCAGAGATCCAAAGAAAAAATAGAATTGGTGCTGTTGGATTTTTAAGTCATGTTAAGATGAGGTTGTCTCGTTTTGCTGTAACTTAGTTTTGAGAAAATTTCACATGAATATTTAATACATCAGCTGGCTAGTTTTATTTGCTTAAAGTCATAACCCACACGGAAATGGGTTAGATTCTAAAATCGATTGGCTGGAATGTGTGATCAGAATTTTAAGTCTATTTCCTGTGCTTCTGAAAATTTGTTTAAGTTTCACATGAAAATTATCCCTTACTCCACTTCCTATTTTAAATGAACAAAGTTGATAGCATTCCAGTTGTCAACAGGAATGAGTTTTTCATTATGTTGGATAAAGTGTGTGTGTGTGTGTGTGTGTGTGTGTGTGTGTGTGTGTGTGTGTGTGTGTGTTTAGAGCCAACCAGTATCGTTGACAGCAAACAGACCCAGAATTTAACCCATCATCCCATGTGTTTATAGCATTCATTCCGACATATCTACCCCAAAACCTGCATCCTGACAATATGATAGTAAGTCGTGATGCACAGGAACTGAATGGCCATCATCTTCTCACCCAGTAGTATTTAGGGTTAAGATACTGAAAATAACAAGGAGGGAAGGTTAGATTTCTCATGGGAATATAATAGGATCATTGTGCCATATTGATCTCCCCTTGGGTGGGGGTGGGGGTTGTGGAAGTCAGGAAACGGGGAATGATTCATGGCCATCCAAGGTAAATTAGGTGTGGCACCAGAGCGCAATGAGAGGGACCTAAAAATGCCCCTTTGGAAAGCACTGGATGCTCTGTTTTTGAGACCCCAGAAAGCTACAGAATCAGCTTCTGTCTAAGCAGGGTTCATTTTTTTTACTCACCACAATTGCTTAGAAAGGCGCCAACTTGTGTGGAATCATCGGCAGGTGCCATCTGGATGGGGGTGCGGAGGAAGGATGTGGGCCTGAGTTTCTGCTTTGATGCTCACTTTCTGGCAGGGACTTCTGTTCCTTTTTCTGAACCCCAGTTTCCCCATCTTTAAAATGGGGGCTATGTCCTGGGTGAGCGTGGGCGATCCACTTAATTCCTTTGAGTCGTGCCTTCCTCATGGATCATGAGGGAGCTGAGCTAGAAAACTCCAAGGTGTTTTCTGGCCCTGAAGACGCTGGGAGAGATGGTGTGGGTGTGGGTGTACACATACGTGTACGTTTATGCGTAGAGATAGGGAGATGGGTCTTTGCAGCTCTACCTTGCAGCTCTACCTATCTCTCTCGGGGGAGGGTGAGTGCCAGAACTGTGTCCTGCATGTGAAGACAATGCTTTGTAGACCATAAATGAGCACCATCTAAATGAGTGGTTCAACTCTGTTCCAGTTGTTTGTGAAGTGTGTCCTGGAGTTTTAACTACATCTAATAGTTACAAGAAGTCAGGGCAACTTTTTTCCCTTGTCTGGCCACCTTCTTTGGAAAAATTCCTTTGTGTTAAAAATTTGAAACGTGGAGAGAGAATTTTCCTTACTTGGGTTAATCGATTGTGCCCTCTCTGATGTAGTTAGCGCAACACAGGCTCTTTTCCAAATTTGTGCCTCCCAGGATGGAGGCAAGAACCCGTGTGAAGGTGCCGGACTGGCAGCTTAGATGCGTACCTATTGTATGGGAATGACTTTGGACGCCAGTGGGCTAGGCCTGATTTTATTACTCATTGGGCTTCTGCTATATGGCCTGTCAATAGGCATTGGAAGGCTTGGCCTCCAGTCTTCTGTGAGCTTGCTGTGATCCCTCGGGTGAGTGCCGGAGCTGCTTTTCTGTCCATTCATCATCAGTGTAATGGACACAGCTGTGTACGTCCTGTGCACCCTGTCCAAAGCCCACGCTGCTGGTGTGACCCTGGGCGAGTCCCTTCACCTTTCAGGGCCCTAGACGTGCGGGGATTGGAGTCATGAAGAAAGCCTGGATTTCTGTCCTGCCTGACAAGTTAAGCCTCTGTGCACCTTAGGAAACACCCTTGGATGGGCTGTGATTCATCAAGGAGGGGACTTCCACACAGGGAGTTTGCTGTGCAGACCACAGCTCCTTCACTCATGAATGTGCATAACAGGACTTTGAGGATTAACGATAATGAATGGGAAATCACTTCAGAGTGTGAAATGTACAGTGATGTTTTTGGTGGGACTGGAGAAAAGGGCGTCTCTTAGAGCCACCAGAAATAACAGAACAAAGTAGAGTTACACCTGCCGGTAACCTGGTGCCTGCTCTTATTGCAAGTCTTGGCACAAAAAAAGGCGGGGGTGACTTGGAGGGGAGGCTCTGCTATTGGCTGAGTCTCCCGGCTGCTGCCTAGATACCACCCCTTCCTCTTCCTCTGCTTTTCACATCAAAAGTCAGCTACTATGCATCCCGAGTCCTCACCCAGAGACTAAGCAGCAGCTTACCTGGGGCAGATGCAGTGATTCAGGATAGTTTGTGTCAGCTTCAGGAGGACCGTCTGTGTCAGCTTCCTGAGGACCGTCTGTGTCGGCTTCCCGAGGAAAAACAGATCAGCTGATAGGCACAGTGAAGTTTAGTTTAAATTCACAAAGCTAGGCTCTAAACGAGGATGGGAAGGTCTCGTTCTTGTAGAAGCACATTTAAAACGGTTAGTAACTATGACGTGATCTTTACAGCAGTGTCATGGCATAAGCTAGTCTCCTGGTTCTGCTCCCTTCACCTTGCATCAGTTGGTACAAATTTCCCCAAACTTGTTTTCATCATCATGATCACCTGCTACACACACGTACCATGATTTGTCCATCCCCAGTGGATGAGCACCCCTTAGTTTCCAACTCTTTGCCACTATAAAAAGAGCCACTATCAGTACTTTGGTATAGAGAGGTCCTTTGGGGTTTTGCCCTTTTGGGGATGCACACCTGGATTTGCATAGTTTGGTAGCTGGGGGACTTTGGTCACTTGGTGGGTATGTCCGAAGTTGCTTTCCAGAATGACTGGACCAGTTTTCAATCCCACCAATGATGCATTTCCTAATGAGTGTTTTCCTGCAGCCCTTCCAACACTTGGGCCCATCTGATGGTGGATGTGAAGAGGGTCCACCCTGGTGGCAGAGTGACAGACGGGAGGATGCATGAAGACGCATGCTACCCATCTCCTGACCTCCTGATCGACAGAGGACTTGAGGTGCAGAATGTCACCTTTTTTTGGATGTAGCCAACTCAGGAATTTGTTTTGCATGCCTATACATCTTTGCTATGAGGGTTATGGTGGAGGGAGGTGGGAAAAAGAAAATAGATTCTTGTTAATAAAAAAAAAATTTTTTTTATTAAAAAACAAAACAAAAGCAGAAGGGAACATGTACACCACTGAGCCCAAATTCTTCATTTTAAGGGTGAGAAAACAGGCCTGGAGAAGTCGAGAGCTGCTGGTCCACGGTCCCACAGCTTGTGATTGGTTGAGCTAGGACTTGAACTTAGAGCCTGGGCCTTTCCCACTCAGCCATATTCACCACTCCAGGGATTTTCCTACTAAACTGCTGTCAGATCAAGGCTCTCACGGGAGACTTTGTGTATGAATGTGCTGCAATTGCATGAGTGTTGGGTGTCAGACATCCATCCTATCCAATGTAGGGTTCCTTCCTAATACTTCTACCTTGCCGCAGTATTAGCATGTGGTTGTGATGTGATGGAATGTTTTTAGAAATCAAGGTCGGTGCCCTAAGCCCATCCAAACCGGAATTCCTAGGGCAGAGTGAACCAGTATCAAGTGGCTGAGTGGGAAGGAAGATGGTAGTCAGTGGGAGTACTTTCTGCTCGTCAGAGCTGAGGGTGGAATGGACTGCCATGGCAGGGAATGAGGTCCTTTTCACTGGAAGGGTTCAGGATAGGATTCAACGTCCCTGTGTTGTGCAGGGGGTCCTGCCCTGGACCGACCATAGATGTCATCAGGTCATAGATTTAGAGCTGGAAGACTGGCCCCTCCCCCCATCACCACCACCATTCTAGAGCTGAAGGAACCTCCGAGGTACCTAGGCCAGCACTCTTCTCTTGCAGATGAAGTACCTGAGGGCAGGAGAAAGGACCCCTTTGTTGTGCAGAGGAGGAAGCTGAGGCCAGAGAGGTGTCCGGGCCATGCCTTCCAGACCTTCCAGGCCTTCGTCCCTGCCTCCCCACCCCCACTAGGAGTTCCTGAAATGCCTGTTGCCCCAGCCCTGCAATGGTTTCTTTCTGGTTTAGCCGATGTGTAAGAAGTCACGACTCTTAGTCTGTCTTCCATTTAACTTTATTGGTTTGTCATATGGTCATTACAATAAAAGCCACTTTAAAAATGCAGATCTGCCCCAGAAATGATCTTAGATGAAGCAAGAAAGAGGTCATGCAAGCAGGGGCTCTGGACTCTGGCAGAGACAGGGGAGCAGCAGCTGGGACACACTGGATTGGACCAGATCAGCAGGAGCACAGAGGAAGAGGCGGGGTCACTGATGCCAGTGTAGCAGGGTCTTCCCAGACCTGCTGAGGGGCCATTACCAGGCAGGGGCGTCCCGAGGCACCGGCCAAACCCCACCCCCAGCACCTCCTCTTGGGGTCGCTTTCTCCAAATGGGCTAGTGACAGGGCAGGCGAGCACACGGCGGTGAAAGTGAGGATTGTGACCAGACACTTCGATGTGGACGGCCAGGGGAGGAGCGGACAAGGTCGTCCCTTGGCTCCCCCATGGGGCTCATTTCTCATGCCTTCATGGACTATCTTGAGTGCATTATTTGTTATGCTCTCTATGCCAGGCTTCCCAAGTCAGGCATTGATTGTCATCTTGGCGCCATTTTGTAGGAAGGAAATCCTCGAATGTCACATTCTCAAGCATTGACGGTATTCAGAGCAACGGCCAGCTTCCAGCAAGAGACTCGACCTGTGATTTCATCAGCTCCTTCTGTCCATGCAGGCTGGCACCCTCTGCACTGAGGGCCATGTAACTAGTGTGTGCCAGAGGCAAGACCTCCTGTCTCCGTCTCACTACCCACAGCTGCCTCTGCTGCCAGAAGCTGGTGAGAAGCTTTTCCTTTTCTACTGTTGACTCAATGTCAAGGAGTTGTCCATCTGCTGGACTGCTCTGGCTTTGGGGAGAAGGGAGAGGAGAAAGGCAGTGTGAAGGCACCACATGATAGGAAAAGATGACTGAGCAGGGTCCTCTTCTCCTCACGAGGAGACTAAGGCCTGCATTGACCCTAGTGACAACAGTGAAGGGGGAAACCTCTTAAAACACAGTTCCTGTGGGATGCCATGGGAATCCCCCTGCCCGCCTGTGCTGCCTGGCTGATTGACAGACCCTCCTGGGAGCTCCTGCAGGCGGGATGTGCTGATCCTGGTGCCCTGGAAACTGATGGAGAAAGGAGAGATGTGCAGGTGTGGGTATGGTCAATGCGAGGACAGAAGAGGAGGAGGCTGGACAATGCCGAATACACCAGACGCTGACACCCGCTACCCTTCAGGCTTCAGGCAGCATTGTGGCCAGGACGCTTGTGGGACGTGAGAGGCTGAGCTTTGTACATACACCATGATCTGGGCGGGATGCGGAGCCTGGAATTGTTGTGTCTGTCTGTCCCTTTTGTTCTTCAGAAGATGGAATCAACAGCTGTACAGATGTGAAGAAATACTTCCTCAGGACTCCCCTCTGCATTTATCTAGGATTTGATGAAAAATAAATCAGGCTGTGATTTTCACAAATCGAGTTATTTTCAGTTAACATCTACTTATAATTTGCCCCAGAAATAGCTGTTTTTGGAACTTCAGAGGATGTGAAACCTCAATCCTTTGACATAAAACCCTTAGAGAGAGGATGGACAGACAGTGTGGGGGAAGAAAGAGGAAGATCGGAGGGTTTCCCATCCGTCCCTGTGTTCCTAGCCCAGCTCCAGTCCAGGGGGAGTTTAGAAACACTCGTTGCTGGGCTGACCTGCAGCCTTCTGCTTGTTCCGTATGTAACCTTGGACAAATCACATCTTCATCTGTAAAATGGGGGTCCTTAAATTCCCTTCCTGTGACTATGTGACTTCCACGCTGTTTGGAACCAAGGAGGGGGCCATGTTTAGGCCGCTGTTTGGCAGAGTGGACAGAGCTGAGTTTGAACCCAGCCTGAGACACGCACTGTGTCTGTGTGAGCTGTATGACCAACCTGTCCCAGTGAGTTTTCCCATCTGAACAATGAGGATGAGAAGAATGGCCCCTACCTCACATTTGTGAGGATCAAAGGATATTTGCAAAGTACTCGATGAACCTTAACATGCTGTAGAAATGCATGCTATTGTGACTGCTATTAACCTGTACGACTTGGGTGATCCGAGATTATCTTGTTCCATAATTCGAGACATAGACCTTTGGTATTTCTGAGACTCCAGGTGGAAGGAAGTCCCACCTCCCATACTTACCAGCTGTATGACCTTGGACAAGCCTACCCTAACCCTTTTGAGCCTCATGCCCTCATCAGTAAAATGGGGGTGCCTGCTATATTTGTGGTGAGGATCAGAGGAGATGTTTGTAAAGCACTTTGCAAACCTTAAAGGGCTGTATCAATACTAGCTATTATATCATTCTAACTCTAATTCTGTGAACTGAGGATAGGAATTTAGGGGAAAAACAAACCATGAACCACTCAGAATGGCCCTCATGTCCCATGAGTACAAACAACTCCTTGAGAGGTCCGCGGGTCACCACAGATTCAGTCCAGCCTGCTTCCCCTAGAGCTAGGAGATGGTAAAGGGAGAGCGATGATGCTGCTGACAACTCCAAATCTCTGCAGAACCCTCCCCCCTCAAAAGAAGCAGCGATTGCCTTCATGGTGCCATAGTTAAAAGGAAACTGGGCTGCTATGTCTTAGGAAGACTTTGAGCAGAGTGCTGGCACGCACTCTCTTCTGGTACCCTTAAACAGAAGGGTGAGAACTGAGTCATAAACAAAGAAAAATCACTTGTTGCTTATTCTTTTCTTGGTGGGCAAGAAGGCAAAGGAGCAGCCGTGCGTGATGCACAGGGATGGGACTTGATTTGGTTGGTTGGACATCTCCTTCCTTATCCTCTCCTTGCATTGGTGGGCTGGATTCCTAGAGGATGATGACTGCTGTCTTGGGGCTCTAGACGTAACCTAGAAGGAGATTTCTAGGATTGTAGCTCATGAGCCCCCATTGGTGTGCCCCCTTGGTTATCAGCTGGCTAACATTTAGAAAGGGTATTTACCAAGCAGATCTAGCAGGAACTCTTGTTACAATCCCACCCCCTCCCAAACTGAGGATGTACTCTTCCTCTGCATTCACAAGATCTCTAGAGTAAGGGGACTCATATTTGGAGAGTACATGTGACCAAAGGATAAACTTATAACTCCTGGTTATTTCCTCCCAGTTAGTACTCTTTTGCCAAGGTCAAGAAAACATCTGAGCCCCATATTTATTCAATAATTCCATTCTACTTCATTTCCTGGTATGATTTCCCAGGGAAATATCAGTACTTGCCATGATGCAAGTCATCACACCCATGGCAAAGGGATGCCTTCCCCAAGCGTGTCTTCTGCTTCTGTCCCTTGTCTTGTTTACCCTTTCTGCCCCAGCTGAACTTACATAGGGCTTTTTGACATGGCTGCATGTCGCCCACCCTTGGCCCACTGGCTTTTCTTTCTAGGGTTCTTTTTTTCTCTTCTGGTACCCAGCTTCTACATGCAAATGTTGGTTATTTGTCTGATTTTTGGAAACTGACATGTCTGCGATGTAATGGAAAGCCCTTTGGAGGATTACTCTTTGGGGCAGTGTGTTTGTTGGGATGTCTTGGGTCAAAACAAAACGTATTAATAAAGTAATACTTTTTAAAAAAAAAAATTGATCTTTGGACTTGGAATCAGAATCATGGGTTTGAATCCCGACTGCTAATTGCTGACTGTCATTATGGACAAACCGCTTCCCTGCTCTGGGTAAGCTTCCTTATCTACAAAATAAGGCGGTTAGCATTCCTAATATTTTCTAATTTTAAGAAACGACAGTAGCAGGGGCTCAGAATCTGCAGAGGGAAAGTTGGCTCTCTTAGACTCCCACCCGCTAGTCACTTGACCTCTGTCTACTTCAGTTTCCTCAGCTGCAACATGGGGATCCTAATAGTACATATCTTGTCAGGTTGTTATGAGGACCAAATGAGATAACAATTATAAAGAACTTGGCACAGTGCCTGGCACACAGTAGGTGCTGTATAAATGTAAGTCATTATTATTAAGGAGACTTCTTCATGCTACAAGGGGCTTAGAACTCACCCATTCTCCTAACCAAATCCAACCAAATCAAAGTCCCATCACTGTGCATCAGTCACTTCACACACACACACACACACACACACACACACACACACACACACACACGGTAATCCTCTTTACCTGCCTCCCAGCGCTGTCCTGACAATGCCATCCCCACAGGAGGAAGGTGATAATGGCTAGCCCGGCATAGATGCCCTGTCCAGTGCCTGCCTGCACTCTTCAGAGGGGATCATTAGGTACTTGATAAGGAAGCTTATTCCATCTTGGAAAAGGGCCAGTTTTTAGGGATTTCTCCCCTAGAGTGAGCTGAATTCGCCCCGCCCTCTGGAGCCACCGAGAATAGGAGCAGTCCTCCTTCCCTAGGACAGCTTGCTCTTCAGACACGAGATGGAAGGCTCCAGAACAAATCCACTCAGATCCATTTTTCATTGACAAACCGGGCATTTCTGAAGGGCTCTTGAGACTCCTCCACCAATGAATGTTTAAGGGGATGAAATCTCTCTCTTCCTTCTCCTCTCTGTGCCCCCATGACACTGTCAGTTTTCAGTATTCGTTCACTTCTCAATCCTGTTTTCACAGGTGGGCCAAGGACTCTGACCAGCTGTCCCTGGAAATGTTACAGAATCTGACTGTGAAGAACGGTCAGAAATAGGGTCATGGGATCATCATTTGTAACTCTGAGGGGACTTGTTTAATCCTTCCATTTCGCAGATGAGGAAACTGAGGCCCCGGGGTTCACACAGGAAATCAGCCATAAGGTCAGGATTCGAACTTGGGTCTCTTTCTTCAAGCTTGTCACTCAATGAGCCCAGGACCACATTGGCCTCTCTCCTCACGTTCCTGCGTCCAAGCACCATGGAGAGCCGACCTGGCCTTGTCCTGTCGTCGAACCTAGACTGGGCAGACCGAGGGCCGTTCCCAGAACTCGACTTGACTCTGGCGCCGTCCAATGGGTCCTGTGCTTGTACCCATGACCATGGGAACAGGAGCCAGGAAGAGTTGCCCCTGGAAGGGTCCAGCGCACACACTCAGCTCCTTGGGAACCGCCCCAGTCCTCAGGGAGGCCCCCAGTACCAACATCATGGGGTTATACCATGGAGACTGTATTAGAACAGGCAGTGCAGTCCAGTCCAGTGGTGAGCGCTGCCCTTAGGGCAATTCTGCCTTTGATGCTTAATGTCCTTGTGGCTTTGGGCAAGTCACTTAACCTCTAGGGGTCATCTGTGGCATGAGGGGATTGGACAAGATGGTCCTTGAGGCCCCTCCCAGTTCTCTACTCATGACCCTGGGAGGTAGGTGCTGTTCTTGTCCCCATTTAGCAGATGGGGAATCTGAGGCAAATAGCCGTTAAGGGACTTGCAAAGGGTCGCACAGCAGGAAGTGTCTGAAGTAGGAGTTGAACTCAGGTCAGCAAGGTGCGCTAAATCTGTGAGATGTTGGATAGCTAAGGGATTAGAGAGTGGGGGCCCTGTGCTGGGGAGAGGTGGATGAGACAAAGATCGGTCCCTGCGCGAGCAGAGAAAGCCCTGCTACCTTTCCAGGCTGAGGACCTCGTCAGATGCTGGGGAACGTGCCCGGCAGGCACAGGGGAGAAGGAGCCAGACCTCCCCGTTCGTCCCAAGAACGTTTTGGTCGTGACCACAAGGATAAATTGGTTATTTCCTTCTCCGTGTCTCCTGTGTACGTCCACTCCACAGGAGAGACCCTGGAGTCAGGTAACTAGCTGAGACCAAGGAGTGTGTTCAGTCTGAAGTAAGGATGCTTTGAGGCAGAGCATGAATCAGAGACCGTGACTGAGGTCCAGAAGGGAGCTGAGAGGCCATTGTGGGCAACAGCCTCATTTTACAGATGAGGAAACTGAGGCCCAGCGTGGTGACGTCCCTTGTCCAGGGTCACACGGGGATTAGGTGTCAAAGGCAGGATTGGAACCCAGGTCTTCCTGATTCTGGGCCCAGTGTTCTATCTGCTGTCCCTTAGTGACCACTACTTCCCCATCTCCAGTGAGCCCTGATTTGCTGGAGGGAAGCTGCCTCTGTTTCCCAGGTTATCTGTCAGTGCCCCAAAGGCAAACTGGTCCAGACATTTCTATCGCGTGGAATTTCTTAGAATCCTAGAAATGACCACAGGGACACCGTTCCACATGCTCATTGGACAGATGGGGCACTTGTGGCCCATGGGTCAACCTCTGGATCTGTGTCTTTTTCTTGGGGAGATTTAGAAAAGCCATTTTCAGCTGAGCACCTCTGGAAAGTAAGACCCTGTCCAGTAAGGAGCTGTGTGACGTTAGAGCTTTGGCTCTGACTGGCCAAAAAGGAAGGAGGAGAGAAAAGGGGCAAACCTGTCTCTACATGGGACCAGATGGGAAGCGAGCCCACCTTGGTGTCTGAGGAGCTGGGCTCAAGAATACCAGATATCAGCGGGGCATCTAGGTGGTGCAGTGGATAGAGCACCGACCCTGGATTCAGGAGGACCTGAGTTCAAATCCCACCTCAGACATATAATACTTACTAGCTGTGTGACCCTGGGCAAGTCACTTAACCCCACTGCCTAGCCCCCCCCCCCAAAAAAAGAGAATACCAGATATTAGCATGTAGGTAGAGAGTGTAGGTTTGCAGAGCACTTTATAAACATCATAACCCTCCGGAAGTAGGAGCTATTGTTTTCCTCAGTTTATAGATGGGGAAACTGAGGTTATGTGACATGGCCAGGGGTCACCCAGCTAGTAAGCTTCTAAGGTAAGACTGGAACTCAGACCTCTAGAGTCCAAGTCCAGCTCTGACTCTGGTACCAGACTGCTACAAACAATTCCAAACTTTTCCTGCATCCATTCGCCACTCCTCTCCCTGCCCCCTCTCCCCCCACCATCTTGGAGGAAAAAGCCATCAGCCCATCTCGGAGAGAAGGGTTAGACTCACCTTGTGTAACTGTGTGTTCTTCTCGTAGTGAGCAGTCATGGCCACTAGGGCCTGGTAGTACGTCTGGATGCGCTGGGTGACGGCCTCAGCGCGGTCATCCGGGTTCCTCTGGAGCAGCCGGCTGGTCATGGTGTCGGCTGAGCACTCCATGCAGATCACCAGGTGGGGCTGTCCAATCTGGGGAGATGGAGCAAGGCAACTCTCAATTCTCCATCTGGGAATTATCCTCCCTTTCAGCTCTGAAATCCTGTGATTCTGTGGTGGGGGGAGGGGGGATGCCCCGTGGGGACCACTGAGAATTCTTCGTCTCTTCGTTCTCATGAAAAAAATTAATGTTTTTCAATGAGAGCAATTTAATTGGTCTCTATTTTTGAAAATCATGCTTTTAATACTTTGGTGTATAGTGATTTGAATGTCAGGTTTTACATCCAGTTTCTTTTAAAACTTTTTTGAACCTTAATTTAAATAATAAATATAAATAAAAATTATTCAAAATTTAATTTAAAATTAATAAAATAAGAAAATTTAAATAATAAATTCAAATAAAAAGTTAAAAATTATGTTAAAACAGCTGTCAGAGCTGGAAAAAGATAAATCACAAAAATACATAAAGTCAGATGGAAGAATTTCATCATTTACTATGTTTACTAAATCATAATACTCTTATCAGTCCCTCCTACAAATTAGGCAAGGATTTGTGTTGAAATTTGTCTCTCACAAACTATTTGTAGGGTATCGCATTTTTACATTTTTAACACATGGGTCCAAAACCCACTGAAACTCTCCATTTGGAAGATTTTTAAACAAGTTAGAAAATACTGTTTTCAAGTTTTTCCATATGCAGGTCTGAGAGTTTTTATAGGACATAAATGTGTGGTTTTCATCAACGAAGTCACATAATGATGGGAATATTTCCAAACTTCTTTTCAAAATGCTCTGTCTCTACAACCTGAGCTTCTTCTGAAAAAGCAGCTACTTTCTCACCTGTTAATTTAAAAAAGCGGCCTGGCACAGGCCTGCTCATCCAGGCTACAAGGTTCGGGGAGGGAGCAGGTTGGATCATGTCTTAGGGGAGAGAGCGGGCTTGTGGATAACAGTTCTCGGTGGAGGGGTGTGCCCCTTTCAGATTTGGATGAGTTTGTGTTTTTTTGTTTTGTTTTGTTTCATTTTTCTGATTGAAAAGACAAAGGCAAATGTGAGACTTGGATAAGAAAACCCTAGGGGAGCAGCTGCAGAGACTTCCCCAGAGAAAGTCTGCAGGAGAGCTCGGTTCCCCAGGTGCTTGCTAGACCCTTTAGAGTTACCAACAGACTACTCTGAACCCTAGAACCGTCTGCCTCCAGTCAGAAGCACCCGGGGCCTGCCTGGACTGGCCAGCAAGCCTGATGGGAGCCATCATGACCTATACTTGTGAACCCTCGCCTTCTAGTTGGAATAAGGGGGATTAGCCAGTCCCGGGCTCCAGTCTTCTGGTCAGGGATTCCTTAGGTGGTATTGATGGGAGCAGCCCCAAGAGCTACTCCCAGGTCAAAAGTGACCCCATATTTGAGAGTTTGGAGATGTGGTCTTCTCAGAGAGAAGAAGGGAGTGCCTGATGAGCACGCCTCCTGGCAAGAGAAGAGGATGCCTGTGTGACCCTCACACTTGAAGGAAGACCAGTAAGGAATGTAGCCACAAGACAGCAGCGCAGAAAACCCTTCCTTCCACCGTTTCCCAGAGTGGGTCTCTTCAGCAGCACAACGATTTCGAGAGGAGTCATGTAAAAGGCAAGAGATTCACTGGACTATATGGTACAATCTTCTGGGAATCCCAAATTCAGCTCCCTTCCAAGGGAGTTTATGGGCTCCTGTGGGTGGTCTGTGTATTTTTAGTCTGGTCATAGAAACCCAAGAAGGCTTTGCATCTTTTGTAGGCATGAAATAAATGCTATCCTCTGCTACACATCCATTGTTGTTGATGAAAGCACTTAGAAATACAAAATTTTCCCTAAGGAGCATTTTAGCTATATCCCATATTTTAGTTTTGGTACGTTTCATTGTAATCTTCTTTTATGACATTTTCTATCGTGTCTATGATTTGCTCTCTGACCCACCAATTCGTCAGGATCAGGTTAGGCTCCAGTTATATTAAATGATTTCTTCAAAATGCCTTTAAAGAATACAGTTTTATCACACTATGGTCAGCAAAGGTGTGGTTAGTATTCCACTTTTCTGCATTGGTTTGTGAAGTTTTTGTGCGCCAATACGTAATCTTTTTTTTTATGCAGGTATCATGCACAGTTGAGAAATACGTACACTCCTCTTTGTTCCCATTCAGTATTTACCAGATATCTGTTACCTCTACTCTTTCTAAAAGTCTGTTCAGGCACCTCTTGGGTTTTTTGTTTGTTTTTGGTTAGGTTTGTCCAGGTCTGACAGGATTACACAGAGGTCCTCCACAATTATCATTTCACTATTTCTTCCTGCAGATTGATGAATGTTCCCTTTAAGTATTTAGATGCTGTGCTGTTTAGGATTAAGCACTAATATTGGTTCCTCATTAATGGGGCCTTCAAACATAGAATCATTTCCCTGCTTGCACCCGTGTTTACTGTGGCCTATTCTGAAGTCATGACTAATACCCCTGCTTTTTGAGTTCACTCAAAGCATCACAGATTGCGGCCCGGCCCCTCGGCCAAATCCTGTGTGAATACTTGTCAATAATGTATTGAAGGCTCTTGTCTCTCAAATCCACTCTGCTGAGGGAGCTGGGCTCCTACCTTCGTGCATACTGACATTGGTGTATTCATATAGACAAACCACAGTCAGAGATTTCCTAGAACTTGGGGCTGGGGCAGACAAGCTAGAGACTCGGCCCCCCCGGGACAGACTCAGTGCATGGGAGTCCAAGCTGGTGCTTGGCCCAAGGCTCCAGGCCTTGGGTTCCATAAGGAGGAGACCCAGGCAGAAGTCACCTTCCTAGATTCTTTCTGGATCATTCCACCCTGCAGGAGTTAGTGCGCTGAAAATGTACATAACAGGACCTCACCCTGCGCTCAAACTCTTCCCCCTGCTTCACTTCCTGGGGATAGCCCTCAATGAGGAACACCTTCGTGTCTTCTCCCAGGTGGGCTGCCATGGCATCCTTCAGGAGCTCCAGAACGATGTCCTGTGCCAAAGAGAAAGCCTTGAACGTGAGGAAGGGAGGGATGTCCCTGAGAAGGGGGTCTGCTCACCTAGGCTCGTCCACATGAGTGTGTGGAGGAGAGGTAGACAAGGGTGCCATTAAATAGGAGGTTATAATAAAGAGTAGATTAGTTTGGGGGAGGCCAGCTTCTAGGCCAACTAGACTCCACAAATCTCTGATGTGCCTTCCTCCAGCCAGGTGCTATACAAAGACAAACAAGGGCAGGCCCTACCCTAGGGTAGCTTCCATTCTGCTAAGGAGGAGGGTGCCCAGTAAGCTCAGGAGTGATCAGGACACAGCAGGGATCTAGGGAGTATGGGAGGGCAGAGAAATCACTAACAGCTGGGGCAGAGGGAGGAGATGGGAGAAGGTTGCCCAGACATGTTAGTCCTTTAGGGAGCCCCCAACAAAGGCCCCTCCTGGGGAGCATTGGTCAGCCCCAGTCTAGGTGAAAGGCAGGTTTGGAGGGTGGGGTTTGGGGTAGCAGCCGTCTTCTGAAGAGTCTTAGCTGTGTGGCCAAGGGCACATCTTTACTCTCTCTGAGCCTCTAGTTTCCTCATCTATGAGATGGGGATGATGAACACCTTGCAACCCTTGAAGGGCTATTATCATCATTGACTTGAAGCCTGGAGCTGGACAAGTCTTTCAGCTTGGAGGGTGAAGCCAGACTTTAATTCTACTCCAGACACCTTTGTGAGTTGGGCAGGGTGGCATACGCTAGCAGTCCTTGCTGCTGAGGGGTGTAAGGGGTGAGTGGGGGGGGGGAGGAGGACCCTAAGAGAAAGACCCTGCACAACCTAACACCAGGTAGAAGAGGTTCTGTTTTGCCCTGAACAGAGCCACCCAGGAGTGACGTGGTCAGCTGGTGGTCTGGTGAATCATTTTGGTACCCGTGAACAGGATGGATTGCAGAGGGGAAAGATCAGTCTTGAGAAGTGAATTGGCTTCACTGCCAAGGCAGGGAGAGCAGTGACTCTCCCTGTAGAGACCCTAGCCCAGCACCCAGGCCCCTGGTCCTCCCGTCAGGGCAGGTCTGGGGATTCTGGGATTGCACAGAACAAGAGAAGTCCAAATGGGGGTGTCCTTCACCTGAGCTGCTCCTAAGAAGAGGCTGTTCTCATCCAGCAGCCTTCGCTCCCGGAGGTCACAACCCTAGGACTCCCTCCCCCTTCCTCCTAACGTGAAGCCACTGACCAGCTGGATGGCGGGCTGGCTGTAAGCGAACTTGAGGAGTAGAGGCTCCGCCCCCTTCAGGGCCCGGTGGTGTCCCGGGGAGCGCCCCCCCCCCAGCAGAACTGGTCTTCAGGAAAGGCTACAGTTATACCTTAGTGTCTACCAAAACCCTTGGCTTTGTTCCCTCGAGGTGTCTTACTCTGATTCGGTTCAAAGGATCATCGATTAGAAGGGGCCTAGAGGTCCCTTAGTGCCACCACCTGATTCCACAGCTGAGGCCAGGAGTGGGCCCTTGGGGACTCTCCCCGATCATACAGAGCTGGGCTTTGAAGCCCGATCTCTTCCCATCCTAGGAAGGAGCTTCTGATCGAGGCAGGGAGGTTTTGGGTCGGGGTGCTCTCCGAATCTGGGGACCTAAAGCAAAGAGTGCATCACGTGGTTCCCTGTTCCGATGCCCACGCTGCGTGGGCCTCTGTCCACTTTGCCCACGCCATGCTCCGAGCTGGAGGCTTACCACGGGCACTGGGTCTCCCCGCTCCAGGGGCTCCCTGATCAGCAGGCTTCTTTCTGATGCTGAGGCCAGCTCATTCCTCACGAGCTCAGCAGCACAGATGTGAGTAAAGCCATATTTCTGGACTAACTTCTCACACTGGGTCCCTTTGCCAGAGCCAGGACCACCTTGAAGAAGAAGAAAAGGCTGAGTTAGGCATCCCTGTCCTGGCCCTTGCCAAGATATTCCGGTTTTGAGGCATAGAAAAGTGAGGGATCATGAATGTCCCCTCCCACGGTGGGACATATGACTCTCTTTGGCATTTCAAGCCCTTTGCAATGTGGTTTCCTGACAGATTTCCTATGACTGACCCCAACCCTCCTGCAAGCCGAGTCACCTGTCCTTCCCCTATGAACCATCACATTTCCTTCCTCTTCGCCTTTGCCCAGGCTGTCCCCCACGCCCAGAGAGCTATCCCTCCACATTTTCACATCTTGGGAGCGTACCCAGCTTCCCTCGAGGCTCAGTACAGGGACATCTCACCACTAATTAGTCTTCTCCATCCCTCCCTCTCCCTCTTACCCCACCCCTAGAAAATTTCTTCATCTTTATTTTGTGCATATTTGTTTTTATTGATCTGTGTACATTTTGTAGCCCCTCCCCCCATGTAAGCTCTCTGAGGGGAGGAACCATTTGTTGTTATTTGGCTTGGCATATAGTAGTTTATAAATGAAGGTTGGATGGAATTGAATTGAATCTTGTCCAAGAAGACTTACTATGACATCTAACAAGTCTGCAGCAGAAGGTGATATCCTCTCCTTAAGGTAGAACCCTTGAAATGATGTGAAGAGAGAAGACAATTTTTACCTGGTCCTGCCTATCTTGTTTGTCTTTGAAGACCATCCTTGCTTCTTTGCTGACTCAGCCACGATGGGATGGTCCTGTGTGCAGAGGGCAGAACTATGGGCAAGCAGGTCCCAGAACCATCCCCAGATGGAAGGAGCTGCCTTGGAATGTGGGTAACACTCAGCCAGCGCCTGGCTAGGAGGAGGGTCAGATCTGATGCTCTTCCAAAGGTCCCTCCAAGACTCCCTCCCACATATCCTTTTCTGCCCCATAGCCAAAGTTCCCTCTCAGTGACAGGTTGGGCTGAGTACAGCTTTGTAAAATTTAAAAACAAGCTGGAAAAACCCCACCCAACCCATTTTTTTTTTAACAGTAGGAAAAGTCACTTTTCCCAAATGAAAATAGATGGAGGGATTTTTTTTTGTCTTCTAAAAAAGTCCTCCCATCAAATTTTATATCAATGGAGCATAATTCATTAACAGCACATTTCTCCCATCATTGAGTGACTGCAGAGAATTCTGTAATAGTGAAAACTATTTTGCTTACTTAGTTTTATTTTGGAATCATAATTAAATCTGGGGGAGTGGAAGGGGGGGCATTATGGAAAAAGGAACATCTCACTTCAAGTCTTATCCTAGACATTTGCTGACAGTGGAAGAAATGAGTAAAAGTGTCAAAGAGGAAACACTTTATAACAACCAGACTCAACTGCACGTAGAACAGGCTGCCTCAGAAAACAGCGAATTCTACCTCACAGAAGGTCTTCACGCACAAGCTGGAGGGCCGGCCACTCGGGGATGCTGAGGAGGGATTCAGAGTGACGTATGGGTAGGACCAGATGGCCACTAAGGTGCCTTCTAATTTGGCAGTTTTGAGATTCTCCAGGTCACTTTTGGTGTGTTATATAAGCAACTGGAGGCTTGTTTGGTTGAAAATGGAGGGGAGGCTGCTCACTCCTCCCATTGGCTCCCACCCTTGGAATGTGGGCATTACCAGCCAGATGCCAAGCCTCCCTTTTTCCCGCTCTCTAGTCACTGCCCTTAACTCTACCCCTTCACAGATACTTCTCAGGTATTCTGAAATCAACTCATTCCCTGCTATGCACAAGCAAAGAAGGCATTCCCCGCCCCCCCAAACCTACAGTTTGCAGATGCAGAGACAGAAATCTTTGTGAAAGGAATGCTGCCTCAATTTTATACTTGTCTGTGTGGATGTGATTGTTGTCAAGACATTCAAGGAAGTACAAGCCAAGACAGTGTTAGAACTAGTGGAAAATTCCATGGGAAGAGGGAGGAACATTGGAGTTAGAAATATGACCCCAGGGCAAAGCCTCCCACCAGACAAAAATGGAAAACGACTTGTTTTGCCCAATAGAAAAAACCCCAGATCCAGGTTTTTATCTGCTTGGGATGTTTATAAGAATGGACAAAAAAGAAGAAATTTTCTCTCCTATCACTCCTTAGGGCCTGACCCCTCCAGAATTATTCTGATCTACCAACAGTCTGCTTTAGCCTGTATACCAAGACCAGAGGCAGTTTCCCTCTTTTGTGTCCTTTTATTTACACATAACCAGACACATCCCTCAGTAACACCAATGATGGATCATATTATTTATAGTAAAGGGGCACTAAAGTTCTAAATAAGTCAGGAATTATGAACAACTTCAAGAACAAGAAAACCCCACAAACTTTGAGTTAGACGCCTGTCCTCCAGGACAGAAAGGGGGGGGTGGGATAGGGAGGAGAAGAGACACTTCTCCATTAGGGTGAATGAATTCTCAGTTAGGGGAAAGTTCAGCACTGATGGAGCACATCCATCACTTCCACTTCCTGAAGTCTCTCTACCAGGGCCTCAAGCTTGGACCATCTCCATCCCACCAGAAACTTGGACTTCCCTCATGGCTCCCCAGCTGTGCTAGGGGAGCCTTTTGTCTTATCTAGCTGGGAACCAGGCTACCTTGCTATTTCCTGATGCCTCCTCACTCTCCTCCTGCATGGGCGCTCCTTCCTTCCCCTTTCCATTGCCAACTTCATGTATTGTCTTTCCTATTAGAATGTAAGCTTCTCCAGGGCAAGGACTGTCTTGTTTGCTTTTATACAGATCTCCTTTGCTTAGCATAATGCTGGTACAGAGTAAGCACCTAATAATCTGGCTCTCTGTCTCATCTATCTATCTATCTATCTATCTATCTATCTATCTATCTATCTAT